GGTCCTGGGATCGAGCCCCCCAACTGGGTCCCCGCTCCGCCGGAGGCCTGCTTCTCCCTCTCCCGCTCCCCCTGCTGTTTCCTCTCTCGCTAAAAAGGACAAACAAAACACCTTATCAGTCCGTTAACAGTGCCATCTAGTGGAAGTAGTTTGTCTTTGCAGCGGTTATCATTCCTGGGTCTATAAACCCCTAGATAGCTGTCACAGAGCCCGGCCATACCTCTCAGGTTATCTAACTGTGCTCCTAACTTTTTACAAGTGAAATAAGATATCTCATTGGTCAGCTCCCCCGGATTTACATCATCAAGTTAGAAGAGACCTACCAGCAGCCTCAAGATTTGCTTCCCCTGGCAGGACCAAACTTCCTGGTTAGGAATGAATGTGAGAATATAATTTTTAAAGAACAACAACAAAAAACCCTCTCCTTAATTCTTAAAGACATTGCAGAATCTGCTGCTCAGACAATGGTCCTTAGACTCTCTGGCCAAAGTTGTTCTTGATTAATAGAGTAGCTCTCGATTGTCTTTTAGCTGAGCAAGGAGGTGTCTGTGCTGTGGCCACCACCATCTGTTGTACTTGGATAACGCTTTCTAGGGAAATTGAAGCTCAGTTACCTAAGATCACAGAATAGGCAACTTGGCTTTAAAAAGTGACTTATTCCACAGGGTCTTTCTTTGACTTGTTTTATTTTGGTTATTTGAGCCTTGGAGACCATGGCTCCATAGTGCACTCCAAATATTGGGAATTTTCTTGCTTATCATAATCATGAAAATATCCCTGTGCATTATAGTCTCTCAAAAGCTTTAAATGCATGTTTGTAACTGATGAGGGAACAAAGGCAAGCTGAGGACAAAGCAGAAGCTGACGCCCCACAAGCCCCTCCCCCAGGTGGGATACATGTGACATTGCTCATGCACACCTGGCTTCCCTAAAGCTAAGAAAAAAAATAGCTAATTTATAGAGATCGTAATCTCCCTCAGTTCACAAATGTTTTAGCAATCCACAAGAACAAAGCACCTCTATCAATAACCTAGCTTCCCGAAAGAAATGTAGATACAGTTAAAGGTCCTTATAACCTGCAGCCCATTGACAGATACTTTAGTCGGCAGAGTGTAACGTTCCTCCAGGAAGCTCCCAACTATCTTAATGTTAATGCCTTGTTAGAGGGAAAAACAACCTTAACTTGACAATGGCAAGGCCTCAGGTATCCTGTGAGTCTTCTTTAACTTATGAAAATTCTTTTGAAACCTCCCTTTTCCTTACCTCCCCCAATCCCATAGTATATAATCAGCCACCCCTCACAACCCCTGGGGTAGCAGCTCTTTCTGCCCACAGGTCCTGTCCCCGTGCTATATAATAAGCCACCATTCTGCACCAAAGACATCTCAAGAATTCTTTCTTGGTCATAAATGTTGGCTCCAGACTTCACCCCACCGAACCTCACTTATACTCCAAACCCCATCATAGCCGCTAGCCACCAACCAAATTATCTCCCCAAGACTCAAACGTCAGGAAAAGAAAAATTTTAAAAAAAGATGATGACTTAAAAACTGTGAACCTGAAGTAACCTGTGAATATCAAAGAACTTTAAAATGTCATGACCTGTGAATATCACACAAAGGATCAATAAAAGCTGTGAGAACTAGAGTCCTCAGAGCGGCACTAATGCCTTAAATTTTGATCACATCTCTCAGTGAAGCTAAGAGACTGATCAAAAGGAAGGAATTGTAAAAATTAAACAAAAAAATCCAAACTGGTGGGGTTTTGGAATATAAGTAAGGTTCGCTGGGGTGAGGTCGAGAGCCAGACAACCAAGAAAGAATCCTTAAGACGTCTTTGGTGCAAAATGGTTCTTTATTATAGCACGGGGACAGGACCTGTGGGCAGAAAGAGCTGCTGCCCTGGGGTTGTGAGGGGTGGCTGATTATATACTACGGGGTTAGGGGAGGTAAGGAAAAGGGAGGTTTCAAAAGGATTTTCATATGTTAAAGAAGACCCACAGGATACCTGAGGCCTTGCCATTGTCAAGTTAAGGTTGTTTTTCCCTCTAGCAAGGCATTAACATTAAGATAGTTGGGAGCTTCCTGGAAGAATGTCACACTGTCTCACCCAGGAGTGGAGGGTGGGGGGAGGTTGCAGGGTGTCCCCTAATGCTTTGTCCTCAGCTTGTCTTCTGTTCCCTCATCACAAACCACAGGCCCAAAAAAAGGCCCCACATCCATAAAGCAAGATTTAACACCTAACCTAACTACTGTTTCAACCCTTCAGCAATGTAACCTATAGCTAGCCAAAAGAATTTCCTGGTCAACACTAGGAGGCAATCCCCTGAGAGACTCTTTCCCCCTTAGGAAGGTGACCTTGCCTAAATACATTCTTTGCTAATAAATTTCCTTTTTAGAGTGCATTTCCCCTGCCTTTAAAAACATTTCTTTTTCTGCAGCTCAGCGGAGCTCCCAACTGCTTGCTGGAATGAATGCTGCCGAATTCATGAAACATTTAATAAAGCCAATTTGATCTTAAAATGTACTTTTTAACACTACCATATTGATGAGGGAGCAGAAGGCAAACAAAAGGCAAAGCACAAGCTGACACTCCACAATGCTCCCCCCAAAAAACGATTCCAGGGTGGGATATGTGTAACATAACCCAGGCACTCCTGGTTGCCCTAAAACTAAGGAAAGGGAGTTTCTCAGTTTTCCTGGTCTCTCCCACGTATAGATGTTACTAAACTTTTGTTTCTCTCCTGTTAATCTGCTTTTTATCAATTTAATTATTAGGCCATCCCAAAAAACTAAAAGGGAAGAAGAAACACTTTTTTGCCCCTATGTCAGAAAAAGATAAATACTGTATGTTTTTATTTATATGTGGAATCTTAAAAAAAAGTCACAGAAAAAAATCAGATTTGTGGTTACTGGAGGCTGGTGGAGGGGGAATTGGAGGAAGGTGGTTAAAAAGTACAAACTTCCAGTTGTAAGATATAAGTACTTAGGGATGTACAACAAGAGGACTATACTAACACTGCTGTGTGATACACATGAAAGTTGTTAAGAGTAAATCCTGAGTTCTCATCACAAGAGAAAAAAATTGCTTTTTAGAATTATATCTACATGAGAAGATGGATGCTAACTACACTGTGATAATAATTTCACAATATACTGTACACTTCAAACTTATGCAGACAATATATGTCAATTATATCTCAATAAAAGTGGGGGAAAGGCTTATTATAGAAAATATTCAAGTAAACCTCACTACAAGTTATAACCACAAGGCAAGCTCTGACCAGAAGAGTAAAGGGGTACACTTTTGAGGAAACAAGTGGTCACCTGGTTAAGTGTGGGAATATCAATTCTTCCCCTTCCCTTGCTGTTGCCTTCAAGCCTCCCTCCCCACTCTGGTGCCCAGGGCAATGGTACCTGAACTGGAAACAAATTAGCGTATCTTGTGCAAACAGACCAATCTCCCCACCCTCTCAACTACACCACATGTCACAAACTCATGTCCTCTCTTGCAGTAAGAAGCTTTTTTTTTTTCCTTTCCTTTTCTTCTTCTTCTTTTTTTTCTTTTTTTTTTTTTTTTTTTTTTAAAGCTTTGCGTTTTGGTTTCTGTTAAAATGCAGAGCATCTGGGGCAGGTTAATAGCACTCAGTTCTTCACAGTGAGAGGAATGACAATTTTCTCTTCTTGAAAATGAGCTTTGGAGGAGAAAATATAGATGAAGGAAGACAGGAATTGGGGTGATAAGAAGAGGACTAAAGGTTGAAAGCTCATGATAAACTTCCACCTAAGACCTGTTCCCAAAACCAATAAAACAAGTGGTTTTCTGGAATCTTTTATTAGGTACGGAAAGCAGAGGAAAAGCAATGGAGAAGACCTGAAATTTTATCTACAATTATGTCAAACTTTCTTATTTTATCAAAAATTCTGAGGTGCCTGGGTGGCTCAATCATTAAGCGTCTGCCTTTGGCTCAGGTCATGATCCCAGGGTCCTGGGATCGAGGCCCACATGGGGCTCCCTGCTCCGCGGGAAGCCTGCTTCTCCCTCTCTCACTCCCCCTGCTTGTGTTCACTCTCACGTTGTGTCTCTCTCTGTCAAATAAATAAAGTCTTTATAAAAAATTCTAAACTGACTCATTTCTTCTTACTAAGTGGTAACTGTTTTTATTGTGATGGTTGGCCCACCTATGTGGGGTAGGTGGGAGAGGGAAGCAGGAGGGGTGAGTCTATTTCCAGTCTGCTCTACCCCTTCCTATCAAAAGAAAGATGGGAACTCGAGAGGCTGAGGGAAGAAGGGAAGGCATAAAGGAGTGAGAAAGCAGTAAGAGCCTCTGGCCGCTGAATCGGTGGACAATCTTGATGATGGAGTAGGTTCGCTTAGGATACCCTGACAACCAGATAAATTTAAAAATGATTATGTGACACTAACTGAATGACTTATACCCCTGCGTAGATCTGTAACATCCATGCAGGCATCTGAGGAACAACCAGGGGCGGTTAGAGGCTGTTCATACGGAATCCCACAGCCCTGAGGGAAATCCAGGAAGAAAGAGAACTACTTAGACAAGGGCCCGTGATTCACATTTCAGTGGTGAACATTTTCTCTCCTTTCCCCTCAATATGAGGTGGACTCTGCAGAAAAAGGAAAAGCTCTCCTTTAACCAAAACTTACTACGTGCAAACCCTTCACTACCTCCCATACTCCTCAAAACCCCGAAAGTCAGGAACCAGTGTTCCCCTGTTCTGAGGCAAAGACGGGCTCAGTCCACTAAGTGGACTGAGACTGTGAGCCCAGCACTGGTCAGTAGACACAGTAACTAGACTGCTCCTTCTCTTCGGACGCCATGCCGAGCAAGCATCTGGCGGGGGAAGAGTCCCTGAAGGTCAGCAGGAGGGAGGCAGGAATGTAGGAACACAGGGGTGATCTGGCGGGGCGGGGGGGGGGGGGGCACGAGAGAACTCATAGTGCGGGAATGAGCGCAGGGCCCCACCCCTTCCTCTCACCTGTAAACAATGCTGTGAAGGCCAGGCTGCAGGCCAAAAGGAGACTGCTTGGAGCTGCCGGGCTCATGGCTGAGGCCACGGTCCGTTCTCTGTGGAAAACAGGAGCCAGTCAGTCAAGGCCCGTGGAGAGGTATGCCCAGGCCACCCAGGCTCGCCTTCACCCAAGGGGCCTTTCTGCCTCTGGTGAGCCCTTCCCAGCCCCTTCGAGCCAGGTGGGCTGCCACATGATCGGGCTTTCGAGGCACCTGCGACTCGGAAATGGCCTGTGCTTGCAAGCCTGAGGCAGATTGGCCGCCTGCCCGCTACTTTCCACACAACACAGGTTGGCGGTGTGGCCAGGCGGGCCGGCACACAAGCACCCCGTAACTGCACCTGGTGCTGCAATCCGGGACACAGCTCTTCCTGGGGTGAACCAAAGGCCACGGCACATGCGTGGGAGCAGGGCCTCTGCTTCCCAGGAGGCCCATCCCCATTGGTCCCTCCTGTTCTTCCCGCCCCCCCCCCCAGTCCTGGCCAATGAGATGCTGGTACAGCACGTCCCACGTGACAGGAAAAAGCCTGGCAGACTGTTTCCACCGTTCCGACAATTGGGAAAACCCAGAGAAACCGGAGTACATGTTTTCCTGGTTCTGTGCTGTTCACCCACCCCACCCCACCCCATTATAGATGTCTTACCATGACTGATCCTCTTCCCTACCTACTGTCAAAAACTCTGAGGAAAAGGTACCTAAATGCTTAACTCTCTGGCCAGTGCCGCCACCCTCCGCTCCAGGTGGTCAATGCATTTAGAGTGATTGGGCGCCTCAGAGCATTTTGTAACACGCGCTTCACCTCCTTGACACTGAAAGCCTGGACTGAGCACTTTGAGAGTCAGGGATCTTGTGCACGTGCATGATTCAGTGTATGCTCAGTCCCTAGCACTGTGTCTAGGACATGAAGGCACTGTCAGTATGTGTTCACTAAATGAAGGATCCCTTCTACCTTTGAGCGCAAGAATGTTAGAATTCTTCCTGTCCTCCCATAGGTGTTTTCAGACCTTGCTTTTGCAGTACCTGTAAAAACCGTGTTTCTTGGGGGGAAGCAACCTAATTGCCCCATGAAGGATGAAAGGATAAGCAAAATTTGGTATATACACATAACAATATTATTCAGCCTTAAAAAAGAAAGAAATCCTGTTATAAGCAACAATATGCATGACCCTGAGGACATTAGGCTTAGTGAAATAAACCAGTCACAAAAAGACAATTACAGCTTGATATGAGGTATCTGAAATGGCCAGACTTTTAGGAACAAAGTAGAATGGTGACTGCCAGGGGCTAGGAGGGAGGGGGAAAGAGGAGTTAGTCAATAAAAATAGAGTTTCAATTTTGAAAGATAAAAAAGTTCTGGAGATCTGTTGCCTAATGATGTGCATACAGTGAACAGGGCTATATTACATATTTAAAAATGATTAAGATGGAAAATTTTGTTATGTGTTTTTTGTTTGTTTTGCTACAATTAAAAAAAACAACATACTCCTTTGACATTTGCCTCTACTGCCTTCATTCTTTGTGACAGATTTACCAGCTCCTGGGTTATTTCTGACCATTCTGACACTTGATGAAGTGTTATATATATTTCTTCAAAGATGAAGAAATATATATTTGTGCCAATACATATTGTAATGGGTTGAATTGTGGCCCCAAACATATGTCCAAATCCAAATCCCCAGAACCTGTGAATACTACTTAATATGGCAAAAGATGCGATTAAGTTAAAGATCTCAAAGAGGAATTTAGCCAAGATTATCTGGGTGGGGACCTAAATGCAATCACATGTATCTATGAGAGAAGCAGAGAGAGTTTTGAGACAAACCAGAGAAGACACAGAAAAGAGGAGGCTGTGAGACCACGGAGACAGAAGTTGTAGTAATATAGCCAGAAGCCACTAGAAGCTGGAAGAGGCAAGGAACAGATTCTACAGAGTGAATGTTGCCCTGCCAACATCTGATTTCAGACTTCTGGCCCCAGACCTGTGAGAGTACATTTCTGTTGTTTTAAGTAATTCAGTCTGTGGTAATTTGTTACAGCAGCCCTAGGAAAATAATACAAGTAATCCATTTGGTTCTTGAAGTAATTGCACGCTTGGAATGTGGTTAGATTGGGGAATGGAAAATTTAGTTGTAATAAATAAATAAATAAATAAATAAATAAATTAATTAATTTATTTATTATATTATGTTAGTCACCATACAGTACTTCATTAGTTTTTGATGTAGTGTTCCATGATTCATTGTTTGTGTAAAACACCCAGTGCTCATTTTAAACTTAAATAGTCCAAACCCTGGAGCTATCATATTGAGTGGCTCTACTGTGACCTTTGCCTACACTCTACACTTACACAGTCACACAATAAGATTTCTAACTCCCAGACAACTGTCCCTGAACAGGACCTGCCATTACTAATTTAACTCCTAATCCAAGTCTCTTCAACATTCTCACACCTGTTCCCACCAGGGTATGTTTGAGTGCGTGGACTCCTTCTGGTTTCTTCCCTCTAGGGAAGGAGAACTTTTAACTTTGTTTTCAAAAAATGTTAAGAGTGACCCTACATAAAGTGTTAAGTGAAGAGGTAGCATACCACCTTACAAGGGAGAAAATATAAAATGTCTAAGGTAAATATCTCATTGGACTTTTGGTAATCTAGACCAGCACTGTCTGATAGAAATGCAATGTGAACCACATTTGTATTTTAAAATTTTCTAGTAGCTTCACTAGGAAAAGTAAAAAGAAACAAGTGAAATTAACATTAGTAGTATATTTTATTTAACCCTATATATATCCAAAATATTATTTTAACATGTAATCAAATAAAAAATATTAATGAAATAGTTTACATTTTCTTTCTTTTTGGGCTAAGTCTTCAAAATGGAGTATTTTACACTCAGAGAACATTTCAATTTTCACGGGAACATTTAATTTTCAGGGGAAATCCTTAATCTGTATTTTGATCTTATAAAATTTATAGTTGAGGGGTATCTGTGTGGCTCAGTTGGTTAAGTGTCCAACTCTTGATTTCAGGTCAGGTCATGATCTCAGGGTAGTGAGATCAAGTACCACATTGTGCTCCATGCTCAGTGGGGAGTCTGCTGGAGATTTTCTCTCTCTCTCTCTCCCTCTCCCCTTCCCCCCTTCACATGCCTGCTCTCTCTCTCTCAAATAATAAATATTAAAAAAATAAATAACATAAAATTTATGGTTGAAAAGGAGATTCAGATACCCAAGATACTTAAAACATACTAAAAGTTTTCCCAATTACTGAGTAAAGTATTAGTTTTTAAATTTAAAGTAATTAAAAGAAAATAAAAAATCAGGTCCTCAAAAGCACAGTTACATATGGCTAATAGCTACTGTATTGAAAAGAGCCTCTCTAGATTAACATTCTGTGACTAGAAACTCTCTATGTAATAAATGAAGAGAGGAAATACAAACATTTCAGGTGAGGCTACCTAGTAAGACTGGAATTAAATGATTTATTGAGATTGACAGGTCACACATAGGGTAATGGGGGCACAGGAGGGTCAGTGCCAGTCCAGCCTCCAACTCCAGTAGGAGCCTGCTGGATTCATCTTCATATCAAGAGACAAGGCACTGACTGCCTCATTCCAGCTTGGTATCTGAGCATTACATTGATTATGGTTGAAGAGTATGATGACTGGCTCTACTTGTCCCATTGGTTGTGTCTTCTCTTTACTCTGTCATCCTGATTTCTATTCCTAATCCCCCAACAAATCTGAGATGAACTCTAAACTGGATTTTAGTGTCTAGGATCTCCTTACCTCACCATAGGTCTGGCTTTAACTCAGATAAATCACCAGGTGATGGCTGGCACTCTTGGCACAGTTCTCCAATACACAGGTAATAAAGTAGAAAATTGCCCCTCTGTCAGGTTATTAGGGGGAAAACACTTGAAGCAAAAAACACAGCTTTTGAAAATGGACTGCACTCTGACTTGCAAAACAGATACACTATGTGAAAACATGACTATCAGACTACATCCAAGCTCAAGGTCTTTTAACACCACTTAGTTCAGATCCATATATTTCAAGATAACACAAACAGATTTAACAGTAACTGTACACAGGTCTTCTAAAGATATGACTATTTACTGTTGTAGCAATTCTCTGTTTTCCAAACTCTGATCAATGTTGGCCAGTACTGTCCTATGACTAACTCCTATGAATAACTCTATTAATATTCCATCCTTAATCCATCCTTTTTGAGACTTCCCATGGTCCCTTATGGTGATTGTTTTCCTGGTTGCAGAAAGTAATAAATAAACCTTATTGGCTACAGATGTGTTCCCGGTGATCTTTGTCTGATAGGCCTCAAAGCAGATTTCCAACATTTGTCATGTTCTCCCTGAAATGCTCATCTGAGCCCACTTTTGCTGGACCCTTTCCTTCTTTCTTCCTTCCTTCCTTCCTTCCTTCCTTCCTTCCTTCCTTCCTTCCTTCCTTCCTTCCTTCCTTCCTTCCTTCCTTCCTTTCTTTCTTTCTTTCTTTCTTTCTTTCTTTCTTTCTTTCTTTCTCTCTCTTTCTTTCTCTCTTTCTTTCTTTCACTCCTCTCTCTTTCTTTCTTTGAGAGCACACATGCGCATGTGTGCATGCGAGCAGAGCAGGGAAGGACAGAGAGAGGGAGAGAGAGAATCCCAAGCAGGGTCCACACTCAGCACTGAGCTGAGCTGGATGTGGGGCTCGATCTTCTGACCCTGAGATCATGACTTGAGGTGAAACCAAGAGACAGAGGCTTAACTGACTAAGCCACTCAGGAGTCCCTGCTGGATCCTTTCTAATCACAACAGTCATTTGATGTTTAAATATCCTTATCTACATTCAATTCAAGAACTACAACATCTAATGGCTCTTATTATATTATATGTATTATATTATACATGCATATCCAAGGATGTTTATGCTTTAAAAAGAGGACAAAGAAAGATTAGTGAACATCTCTATTGGTAAGTCAGGGAACATGGCACAAAAAGAGAAAAGAGACTGTTTCCTTCATAGATAGAAGCCCATCATGAATTAAAATCCCTAACACTTCTTTTTTTCATCTATTTCGAAACTTTTTAAAAATTTTATAATGGTATGTTAATCACCATATATTACATCATTAGTTTTTGGTATAGTGTTCTATGATTCATTGTTTGCATATACACCCAGTGCTCCATTCAGTACGTGCCCTCTTTAATACCCATCACCAGGCTAACCCACCCCCCCACGCCCCTGCCTTCTACAACTTTCAGTTTGTTTCTCAGAGTCCATAATCTCTAATGGTTCATCTCCCTCTCTGATTTCCCCCCCTTCATTTTTCCCTTCCTGCTCTCTTCGTTTCTTTTTTTTAACATATAATGTATTATTTGTTTTAGGGGTACAGGTCTGTGATT